CGTTTTCTCCGTCCTTGCAAACTGGTTCCCCCGCTCGACTCGATTATGTTAATCGCATATGTGCACGTTAGCATTTGGTCGATAGCTCGGCGTGTGTTGAACACCGCGCATACAAATCTGTCGTCAGTGTTTAGATATTACCCTCAACCCCATTTTGTCAGCCACGTCCACGTCTATTGACACGTGAATCCTCCGAAATTTTGAAAAATCTCTTTGAAAACCATTTGCAGCCTTGAACATCGCCGGCTACGCGAATGCTGTGGTCCATGCATTATCCCATTCCTCTCTAAATTCACCGGTGCCATGAGAAGATCGAGTGGGCGGTTTGCCGGAACAGGAATATCTATCGTCCGCCCGTCGGGCCGCGAGCGAAATACATCGTGGAGACGCGTCTCTGCCGTTGCCGCATAACTTTTTAACACGCCCTGGCTGGTGAGACTACAGGAGCTTTTAATTTGCTTTACGACGTGCTTACGGGTTATGGTTTACGGCGTGCCAACGCCCGGCACGAGTCCTCTGTCCCATAAATGTCACATTCAAATGGCCTTTTACGGCCCGATGGACCAGATGGTTATGGAGGAGGTTATCTTATCGGGATAAACGTTTTATCGCTGTTTGGGGATTAGTTATCTTCACGGTAGAGGACTATAAATTATTTTTCCGTCCGGCATTAGCCGTGGCCCAAACTCGTAAGAGTCAAATTGGCCCGATAAACCGCCATTTTAGATCGCGATTTTCTGGCCCAGTGAAATAAAATATTCCATGTCAGACGCCGATAAAAGTATTATCCAACTCATGTGATTATTAAATTCACATTTGTCAGCTGATACTTTTATCGCTTGATGACATGATGTACTATTTCGTCACAAGGTCGAAAAAAACTTGAGTGACGAACATAATTTTTCTTGACAGCGTCAATGTAAAAATGAGAAAAATTCACACTTTCAGAAATAATTTGAGAATTTTTTAAATTGACACGCGTCAAGAATTCACATTTATCCTGAGGGTTCTGATGCTCGATAGGGTCGTAAGGGTCACAAGGGTCAAAAAAATTGAAAAAATTGTGATACATCGATGTTTGAAAAGATCACAAAGATCATAAGAATAAAAAAAGACAAAATTTAACTCTCAGAATTTTTTAATTTACGCACGTGAAGAGTTCGAATTCACCCGGAGGATTTTGATACTTGAAAGGGTCATAAGGGCCACAGTGTTAAAAAAATGAAAAAACTTTGCAAATATAAAAAATCATGATACATCGATTCTGGAAAGGGTCACAAGGGCCGTAAGGGTAAAGAAATAAAACAAAATTAATAACTTGAATGACCATAAGGGTCACAAGGGTAAAAAAATGAAAAAAATTGTGATATATCGATGCTTGAAAGGATCACAAAGATCATAACAATAAAAAACGAAAAAATTTCACTTTTACAATTTTTTAAATTTACGCACGTGAACAATTCGAATTCACCCAGAAGATTTTGATGCTTGAAAGGGTCACGAGGGCCATAAGGGTAAAGAAATAAGAAAAAAGTAGAAAACTTGAAAGGCAATAAGGGTCACAAGGGCTAAAAAAAAAAAATCAGCACCCTTAAAAAATGTGATAAGGGTCGTAAGGGCCGGAAAAAAACGATTCAAAAATTTTCCAAATTAATCAATCATGACGCACGATTCGATATTTACTCAATCACATCATCTCTTGATACTCTCAGTATCAAAGGAATCCCGTCCCAACAGCAGGTTGAATTCCCGATTAGACAAAGCCGCCCGCCGTGAAGCCATTTTGATGAATAGAGGCCATCATAGCAGCAGTGACGTCATCTCTCCAGACACAACTATGGCGTCACGTGACGCTCCACCCTCTTTTCAATCACCTTGGCCCCGAACCCACCCAGCTGTCAGCCACGCTCCACCCCGTTTTTTTCCCCCCATACGGTACATCTCCCCTGCCTTTCAGTATCGTCATATCGGTGAGGCCATCTATCGGCCGGTCATCGCACTTCTTAATTTACCAAATGGTCAGAATGTGGTTTATGACTTTTCCGAATGATGCCGCCACTCAACAACGGCCGATCTTCAGTGGTGGCCGCTTGAAAAAAAATACTGAACGGGGGGAGAGATCGTAAATTACGGGGCAGCCGCTATTAAAAAAGTACATCGTATGGAGTCATCGCGGGATTATGGGTGATTTATGAAATGGGAAATTTACGGGTATTGAATTAGATGAGAGGAATATTATGGGGAAGTGGTTTATCAACAATCGAAATGGTTTAGATTGTTTTCATGATTTTTATTTATGATTGGGGGCATCGAGAGAAAAAATTTTCTCTGCCGAAAAATTATATACCATAGAAAGAACACATGACGGGGAATGAATTTTTTTTCCCATAAAAAAATTGTCCCTTCGAAATTATTTAATTTTGTCAAATTATTGGGATTTTTCCAATGAAATGATGAAATGTGTCATAAGGGAGAATATTTTAAAAACTGTATTTTTCACTAATAATTCCAGAATTTTTTTGAGTGTTGACATATTATAAATAATTGACATTTTGATCCTGAATATTTAGTTTTGTCAAATCATTGGGATTTTTGAACTGAAAAGTGGCATAAGGGTTATAAGGGCTCTAAGGGTTAAACACGAAAGAATATTTTTAAAACCTTCATTTTTCACAAATAAGTCCCGTTTTTTGTGTTGACATAACATAAATAATCGGCACTTTGATGCGAAGAGTCCGAACAGTCCCAAGGGCCGGACGAGTGACTAATATAAAAGAAATTCCACATTTCCAGATAATTTCATAATTTTTTTGTTTTGCATACATTTACACTACTAGAACAAATGAATTTTTCCCCATCACAACAAATTTCAATATTTTCTTCTTCAGAAATAATCTTATGAAATTTGCAACCTTCACTCTTCTTCCAAATCTCGCCAACTCTCATCATCATCCTATAACAGTTCCGAAAAATAATAGACTATTGAAATCCCCAAAATTACACGCGAATAAAAAAAGCTAGAGGGGCTGCAGAAGAAAGTGTAGACTCAAAAGTACTAGAAATGAGAGAATCCCCAGTGCGAATTTATACTGTCCGGGGTTATACGTAGCGCATGGAATAGCTATCGGCGGCCATTCATCAATCCGAGGAATCAATACGCTGGAATTAATGAAAGCGCCGCGCGAACAGCGAGCTAGCGGCCGGAATGTTAATCGCGATCGTCCCGCGTCCGTAAACCCCCACACGTTCGCGTGTGCACCGCCAACTCCCAAGGGCCGTCCGCCGCCCCCTCCCCCACTCACCCTGAGGGAGAGAATTGGTATATACGCCCCCTCCGCGCACCCCCTAGTACCGCCAACTCACCCGCAACAACGACACGCGTATATTCCATTTGATTCTCGTATTCCTTTTGTTGATAGAAAACGGACGCAGGTGATGTTCCCCGGGAAATCCATATTTAAATAGCTGGAGATGGCTGATCATCCGGCGATAAGTCACTTTTATACGTTTTTTCATTTACCGATCGTCCCAATGGCCGCGTTCGCCTGTTTATCACAATTGATTTACAATTATATTAATCAGAAATTTATTCTCATGCCGTCTGCAATTTTTTTACTAATTTATTGTGATAATTAAAATAATTTTTTGGGTTTCATTTTTTTTTAAATTTAGATGCATCAGCGTTTCGATGATCCTAAGGGTCGCAAGGGTCAGAAGAAAGGATGCAAAAACCTTCACTTTTCCAAACAATTCCACAATTTATCAAATTAAAAATTTTTACCGTCCCATTTTTCGATGAAACGCAAAAAAAAATGTTTCATGAATTATTTTAAAACCGCGCCGACTCGGAGAAGATGATCCACAGTTTTTCTGACTCCTCCAAACTCATCGTCTTGATGAACAGTCGGTAGAGCAGGTCAACACGGCATCAGCAGCCCCTCTGCGACCGACAGGGGCCCTCCAGCCTTGACAGGGTTCCGGGACCTGCCGATACGCGGAGTTAATTTTCAAAGGTTACCGACCACAAAACGCGGGGTCTTTTTTCATTCAAAATTTCCCCGCCCAATCTCCCCATACACCCACAAATTATGCATCAGATTAGCCGTTCTCAAGCTGTTGACACCGATCCATAATTCACAGGGGAACAATCTGATACAAGAACCCATGTCATAACACGTTGTCAATTGCCGGTGCGAGAGCAACAGAGATACAGTCTCACCGAGACTCGTTACTTTTTCTTCAAAGTAGTCGCCATGCTGTTGCTAATGGCCCGAAACGTCCGCCTTTTTTCGACTTGTCCAAATTTAACGATTGGCCCTCTCTCATAAGGGGGATCTGGTGCTAATGCAAGACTAACGTCTGGGCGATGGCCGTCACCGTGACGAGCACGTGTGTAACTCGCTGTCTGTCACTCAAACTCAAGCCACAGTCCCATTCGTTTCACTGAACGTCCAGAAGCTCATTCCAATGGAATAATAAGTCAGAGTTTAGTGAATTGAGTCGAAATAATCATGACGATATTCCTAAATAAGTTGTTGCTTTGTTCCAGGTGCGGCGTAGCGTCGTCATCAGACTGGACGGAAGATCAGAAAGCATCGTCTACAGCAGCAGTCCAAGACTCTGAACAGACGAGGAACTCTGACAAGTGAAAAACCTCCCCCCCCCTATAACCTAAAAAGTTGAAAAATATCGTGCCCTCCCTTCGCTTGATAACTTAAGGTTCTGCAGTGCTCTAGTTGTCCATTGTGATGACAGTGTGATAGTGAGGATTAGTGATAAATAATACAGAAAGAGGAATAAGTGGTATCAGTGTATCCAACGCGAGTACAAATATAAAAAGCTAGAGGATCAATGAGAAAGCAAAAATTCCAGTGTAAATTATTTGGTGATTTTAGTGTACGTGTTTGTGTACAGTGTTAAACAAGAGAAAGAGTGACGAGAAAAAAAAATTGTGTTAAACGCAAAGGAAACGTGTGAATACTGGTGGATAGTACAGTAGCATGAGTTCGTATTTTGCGAATTCGTATATTCCGGACCTGCGCAATGGCGGGGTGGATCATCCCCATCAGCATCAGCAGCATTATGGGGCTGCAGTCCAGGTGCCCCAGCAGGGCCAGAGTGTTCAACAGCAGCCACAACAGGCAGCTGATCCCTGTGATCCAAGTATGCTCAGACAAGGTGTACCAGCCCACCATTATGGTGCGACTGGTACCCAACAGGGTATACCATACCCAAGGTTTCCACCCTACGACAGAATGGACATACGAAATGCGGCGTATTATCAGCAACAGCAGGACCACGGGAGTCTCGACGGAATGGGTGGATACAGATCAACATCACCTGGATCGGGTATGGCCCATATGGGTCACACACCAACGCCAAATGGCCATCCATCAACGCCAATTGTCTATGCGAGTTGCAAGCTCCAGGCGGCGGCGGTGGATCACCAGGGTAGTGTCCTCGATGGAGCGGAAACACCGCCCCTCGTTGACACTCAGATGCATCATCAAATGCATGCACAGCATCCACACATGCAGGCCCAACAGCCTCAGGCACATCAGCAACAACCACAGCATCAGCATATGCAGGCACAACAGCAGCACATGATGTATCAGCAACAACAACAACCAAACAATCAACCGCAAGGCGGTATGTTGCCACAGCAACAGGCGCCAGCGCAACAGCATCAGGGTGTTGTTGCATCGCCGATTGGACAGCAGCAACAGGGCCCTCCACAGAGCTCTGGCAACTCCAATCTACCGAGTCCACTTTATCCCTGGATGAGGAGTCAATTTGGTGAGTCACGATCAAGATCGCTTCATTATCTTTAACTATTGTCCAAAAGGTGGTGTCCAACCCGGTCAAAAGATAGTTGGGCAACCCCTCGGGGTCAACAGGTTTCCCATGTTATTTATTACTCTATGCTTTCACCACATTTTCACCATTCTTACATGCCTCAGTCATGTATACTAAACTGGATCCATAAAAACGTCTCCCCCTCGTTTTATAGCCCCGGTAATCTGTTGAGCATCAGTACCATGGACTTCTTCTCCCGCAGATATCAACACGTACCGCGTGCCTGCCCTCGGTTTTTAGTGTCACCGGAGGACACTTCTTTTTATCAAACTATACGCGAACTCGTTCATTCGCCGTACGTGATCGCGTTGTCCAATCAACTTTTTTCATCTCGCGATCACCGGGCGGTCAGGAACAACTTCACGCGTGCTTTGATTCCTCGCATTTCTTTCGACTGTAAAGACCTCATTCTTTGTGTGTGTTCAGTTCAGATGAGTTACTCTTTTCGAGGAGATAATTTTTTGAAATTTCCAGGTGAAACGGAATCCTTGTTAACCTGTTCCCCTGCGGTGCTCTAAAATTGCAAGAGGTCAATGTCGTTGGGAGAATAGAGTCGAAAATTTTTGGGGTCTGAAAGTTTCCCTTCTATTCCCGTGGATGCAACGTAACCGGGTGACGATTTATGAGGGCCATAACGAAGTGATAATAGTCGAGGTCGTAACTTACGTAGCTTTGGATGTATCGGCTGCCTTGGATGGGGCAGGTAAAGGCGTACAGGTTGGCGACCCCCCAACGTGATTCTGCTCTTATTCCGTTAACCCCCCTTCGGGGCTACCTGTGTTCCGCTGAAGCCTCGGAAACATTGGCTTCGGTGCAATATTACCTAACCCCTGGGTATGACCCTCTCGATCTATGAATGACCGTTGCACTCTAGCTCTCTTTCAAGTTCAAGACGACATCCGCCATCAGTTGTGCATCGGCGTCCGGTCGTGACAGTTGACTTTCAAATTTTTCTCCATAAGTTGCATCAGACTCCTCAGACATATCAAAAAGTTTTCCCGAAATCGTGTAGACAGAATCCTCTTTCGCATAAATTATCGAAGTGAAAAGGTTTCAACACATCATGTTCGACGGACGTCAGCTTTCGCAGGTGAGCATTACTTTTACATAGTTTGATCCTTTCGGAATGGGAAGGCTACCTGTGTTTCGCTGAATCCCAATAAACATCGAAGAACTACCTGACGTTGAAGAGCTTTCTTTCAACTTTAAGAGGAAATCTATCAGTCGTGCCTCGGTGTCCGGTCATGACAGTTAAATTTGAAATTCTTTTTGATGAGTTGTATCAAGACACCTCAGATATATCAAATAGTTTTCGCAAAATCGTCTAGACAGTATCTTCTTTCGCATAAATTATCGAAGTGAAAAGGGTTCAACACATCATGTTCGACGGACGTCAGCTTTCGCAGGTGAGCATTACTTTTACATCGTTTGATCCTTTCGGAATGGAAAGGCTACCTGTGTTTCGCTGAATCCCAATAAACATCGAAGAACTACCTGACGTTAAAGAGCTTTCTTTCAACTTTAAGAGGAAATCTATCAGTCGTGCCTCGGTGTCCGGTCATGACAGTTAAATTTGAAATTCTTTTTGATGAGTTGTATCAAGACACCTCAGATATATCAAATAGTTTTCGCAAAATCGTCTAGACAGTATCTTCTTTCGCATAAATTATCGAAGTGAAAAGGTTTCAACACATCATGTTCAACGGACGTCAGCTTTCGCAGGTGAGCATTACTTTTACATCGTTTGATCCTTTCGGAATGGGAAGGCTACCTGTGTTTCGCTGAATCCCAATAAACATTTAAGAATTACCTGACGTTGAAGAGCTTTCTTTCAACTTTAAGAGGAAATTTATCAGTCATGACTCGGTGTCCGGTCATGACAGTTAAATTTGAAATTCTTTTTGATGAGTTGTATCAAGACACCTCAGATATATTAAATAGTTTTCCCGAAATCGTGTAGACAGAATCCTCTTTCGCATAAATTATCGAAGTGAAAAGGATTCAACACATCGCGTTGAAAATTGTTGGATGGCTGTCAGCTTCCTCAGGTAAGCGTTACCATTCCACCGTTCGATAAACCGTCGGTATATCCTGATCCTTTCGAATGAAACCCATGGCGTACCATCTCTCGGATGGACTTGGAAGTTGGCCACCGTGTGTGGAAGGCACGTGGCCGATAAATATTCGGCTGTTACCGCCGGGTTATAATGAAAGCCCAGGTACATCGGTGTTGGTTGAACGCAAGGAGAGAGTGCTTCTCGAACGGGAGTTCTCATGCATGCTTTATGCAGACAATATACACTGTTGCGTGTGAACGAGCTCTCGGGACCTGATCACAGATGTCGGTAAATGCCTCTCTAGTGGCTGCTTTCCCTTCAACCTCACCAGAAACTCCGATGGCTGGGTTATTACACGGATTATCTCTCTCTTATGCCATCACGCGGCCCGGATACCGCCTACTTCAGAGATGAATTTTTATCGGTTTATTTATTCTGGACCTGCGGATTGTTCGATGCTGGGCGAGCGGCAGTGCCTGCTGCATTGCAAAATACCTGCGGCTATCTATGAATAATACATTTGTCTATCGGTGCATGCACCAACACATTTTCGTTTATTTTAATTCGTGGAGTCAATCATTAAATCTGAAAACCAGAGTTCATAAAAGAGATGTCAGACAAGATATGAATGGTTTTTAGGCTCACATGAAAGAGCGAGTCTCGAAATGGCGTGCAAATGTCTCTAAAGATGATGTTTGTTTTTAATTGTCTTCTCTGGTTATAATATCATCTTTAGAGACCTTTGCACGCCATTTAGAGACTCGCTCTTTCATTTGAACCCGAGAAGATTCACATCTTGTCTGACATCTCTGACAAGAGATGACTTGTCGATTGACTTTATGCTAGAAAAATAAGGGTCGCAAGGGTCTGCTCTTGAGGATATTCCATAATAGGATTCATTCAATTATCCGTAGAATCCCATTTTTTCCTCCAGTAAAACGAGTCAAAGAAGCCGCCGGACAGTTGAGGTCATCTTTTAAAATATTAATTCTAAAAAATCGTCAACACGAAATCACTCAATATTAATCGACTCAGAGTATACAGTTGTGACAGAAGCTCCGATTTGACGAATAACATCCCCACTTTTTCATCTCCATTTTATTTTATTGCGGAGAGTGCGGAACCTTATGTTTTATGAACTCACATCCGTTAACCTGTCCGGTCCGTAAATTGAAACGGTCGAACACGACGTCACGCGCTATATGTCAAACAGCACGGTGTCGTTGAATCGATAGCATTTCATCTTTTCAGGGTACCGATACAGATTAGAAAATACTCCCCTTTTTCCAGTGCGGGAATTTATCTTTCCGGCTCGGTCACAGCTGCTTTCTCCGCTAAATTTCTAGAGCCGGAAATGGAGACAATTTTCTTGAATTATTTGTGACCCTTAGAAGCACAAAAATTGTCTTAACTTGCAGCCGCAAAAACAAAAACGTCAATTATATCTGGACGCAAAAAACGAGACAATTTTCACGTCGGAATGATGAGTTTACGATGTAAAAGTGCAATTACTCACTTTAATCGCACTTTCATTCGCTAATCGAGGCCTGCGGTGGCAATAACTCAGTCAAGTGTGGACAAAAAATAATTCTCGGTATCATAGGCTGATCGTAAAGTGTTACAAAATGGTCTCGCCTATCGGCTGTTCCGTTCTGCTCGTTTTGTTATGTTCTGTTTCTTATGTCCGATAGCATCGTTTATGGTAATGCAATTTCCCCATGTCTCACGTTGTACTCTTGACGAGAAATAAAATAAAATGAAATAAAAGCGATTGAGAACTGACAGGTACTGCCACTCCGGAAAAAAAAGGCGGGAAAGATTCGAGAGGAGCGGGGATTGGGACCAACGAAGCTTTTAATATGCACAAAGATAATTGCAATTCTCATTCGCCGAGAGATTTATGATCTCAGGTCGGTGGCTGTAAATAAGTGTGTTATGCAGCACAGTTACACTGGAATGAGGCTTCTTGAGAATCGTGGTGAGGGCATGCACTTCCATTTGGCACGTCAAGAGAACCTCCGGTTGTCATACACTGTTAAGACGCTTTAGTCTGCACTTTAGATTCATTTGGGAATAGTTCTAAAAGGCTGATGAGTGGATTCAGAGGTACTTGTGGGAAGAATCGCTGGGGGACGTTCAATACTTGAAGACGTTCTTTACTTCCTTCGCATTTTTAGCGAACATTCTGATTTTCATGTTAATTTATCGAAACAACAACAATTCAGTAGCGAAACGGAAAAACGGTTCAAGTCAACTCATCTCCCAGTCAAGTTTTTGAGGAATATTTCGCAATCTAAGGGAGATAGCGAAATTTTTGTAAATACATTTATTGTAGCTCTCAATCGGCTCTACAAAAAAGGTTATGACACAAATTGGGCCATCTCCCTTAGATTCCGAGATATTCAGTGAAAACTGGTCAATGGTTAAAATTGACTTGTACCACTTTACCACTTCGCTACTGAATTGTAATGAGTTTTGGATTGGAGGACTGCAATGTGTGTTCGAAATGTCGATGTTCATGTGTTTCGAGAACTTTTCAAAAGTGATGTCTTGAACAATTTCGCTTTCGCTGCATTGATTGTGAAGGTTTTTATTAAGATGTTTACGAGAATGTTTATAAAGATATTCATAAAGACATTCAGAAGGATTTAAAAAATTCTCTTCAACTTTCCCATAAATAATTTGATAATAATTTCAAAAACCATTCACGATTTACTCTTCCTTTTTTCGCTTCACGTTGAATCGAAAGATTTTAGTAATGGCGGTGCCAGTGATATTCATAAAGACCCCATAGAAAAACCCGGTGAGAGGATGTTGGCGGGGCAGGGTGGAGCGATGGACCGAGCGGGGAAGTCTGCGGTTGGAAGGAGGCGGAGGTACACGTCTGACGATGATGGATGATCCACGGAATCCCACTATGGGTTTGCCTTTGAGAACCGCCATGGCACCAAAGACGGCCTCTGAATACAACGGAATTTTGGTCTGCTTTTGATTTCGGAGATTTCTTTTTTATCCCGTCTCCCCCTCTCATTCCGGGAACAGCGTTTGAGGGTGAAAGGTCTTGGTCCTCTTCAGATTAGAAATCCAGCATTATTATTTTTTCTCTCGAAAGGCAACCTTCGCCACGGAGCCAGAATTAATTGGACGCCATTACTCAAACAATGGACGAGAGTTAATTCCGAGATCTTCAGAGGCACATGTTCTCCAAAATTGGAGAAGAAATTCGGCTCTCGAAAGTTTCCAAGGGGTGACACTAAAAATATGCCCCCTCGAGGGGGCTTCCCGTGCATGTGCGAGGAAATGGAAGAAAACTTTTGGCTCGTGGAGTCTCCCAGTGTCGCGGGAACGAGAGTGAGATAGGACTCGAAAAAAATGATTCATAGCTCGGTGTCTTTGAACCGGATGCTAAAATATTTCCCATCAATCTTACTTGCTCACTCTCCTCCGAAATCCTTTACTTCTCATTTTTGTTTATCCTTTTGAGGGTAATCCTCGTCACGCTGTCTTCCTCTCTTACTATCAAACTGTTTTGAGCTCACGCTTGGTGAATTTCTCATCGATTTGAAACGCTTTGTTTTTTAACGGAAATCGCCTGAAGGAAAAGTAAAAAACAGAAATTCTTAAACTTACTTATTGTACATGAGTACCGTAATAGTGTTAACTTAGACAGATAGCCCACTGCGTTCACCAAAATCATCCACAATTTTCACTAATGAAAGATCAGTCTTACATAAGAAAGGTCTAAACTGATGGTAAATATCCTTTTGCACGTAGACTAGAGGTGATTTTCGCTCGCGATGTATCATACAAGGGCCATTACCAAAATACGTGATTAAGGTCCTCAACAGCTTGACCACACTTGCATTCTGAAATATTCATTCGGCCCAGATTCCGCCAAGCTGCGGTGATTTGCTCTTGCCCTATTCATCCAGACCACTGTCTCACGAAAATGATTTTTCCTATCAAAGTACTCAAAGTATTCTTTACCCTCTATTAACCCCACTTCGGTACACCAGTCCTTGCTGACCTGTAGACTTTCCTGTCCCAAAAAAAGTGTAATTAATAGGGTCGCAGTATCTAATCGAGAGGAGTTTTGAAGGTTAATCCCGGGAAGAGATGGTCAAGGAAAGCTTAAGCTTAATTGGGCAGTAGATGGCTGAGGCCGCACCTTATTAGCCCCGGTTACACCACATCCGGCTAGTTGTTAATCTGAAAAGTCCTGCGTATGTCCTGCGGCGAGTGTGCACATGTGTCTGTGAGCATTCGAGTGAAAAAGTATAAACCAGCACCACACGTACGTAACATGCCATATTGGTGTCTTCCAATGGCCGAACCCATGAGCACCGGCAGCGTAAGAGGCACTAGGCCTATAATAAGCGTTTGGTATGAGCCTTCTCTGTGTGTATATGCCCCGTTTCGTTCCTTCCATGCTGCGCCAGTGAAGGCAGACCCATAAATCTCTTGGCATACTCCGGGGGACATTTGATCCTTGCGTAACCCAACGCCGTTAATTTATTGCCCCGCGTTTAAAGTCAACTTGGTCCGCGAGAAGGCGAGAACGCTAAATCCATGCTTCGAAGTATCCCAAGGCTTGTGGGTATGGGTTCATTGGGTCCAGTCGTTGTCGACCACTTGGTACTCATTTTGATAGGATTGTCTAGTAGAGGCAGTCATCTGGAATAAGTTGGATTTCGGCAGATGCTTGAACTTGTGTTGAAGTCTTCTGGTGACTAACGACTCGGGTGGTCTAAGATCGTGAGTTGTGAAGACTTCTTGGCAATAAGAATGAGAAAACAGTGTACCTCAGCGGAAGTACAAGCACTGGGAGAAGTAGGAATGCATTTTAGAAACTTAACAACATCAACAATGATGCCTTGTGAAGCAAATGAACAAGAAAAAATGTCAGAAGTATCTGAATTCTATCGGAAGTCTTCTGAGTAGGTCAGCAATACCTACGGAGACGTATAATGTTTCATTAACTAAATGTGACTCCAGTTAACATGAAATTTCATTATATTGACTAGAAGAAATGACGATGAGGGAATTGCCGTTGTGAAAAAATTCTATTTCGGCAGATGCATTTGAAAAGTGCAAGAGGCATTCCTCCGCTAAACTTTTGTTGACCTCTTCTGGTATCTACCGCCTCGGGTGGTCTGAGCTCATTGTGAATGCTCGGAATAAAACGAGAAATTTACGCCGCAGCGACAATGGACATTGCTCTACAGCGAATTCAGAGGACTGATGGCTGCGCGACCTATGCCTCGTTTGACGCCTCCAGTGAGGGTTCCATTGACATCCGGGACGGCTTGACGAAGTCTTTGTTGTCTGTTTGACGTGCAAGTTTGATGCTACAATGTCTCATGTGAATTTAATTGATTCCCCATGTGTAGAGGATTTTAGACTCTTCCCGCCAGAACGCGCGTCATGACGCTCACATCATAACCTCTCCAGCTTCGATATTATTTCGGCAATATCTCCGAACCTAAGGGAGATGGAACGATTTTCATAATTACCTTTTTTGTAGCTCTGACTGCGCTCTATTAAAAAGGTTCTAACAAAAATTTTGCTAGCTGCCTCAGATTCCGCGATATCCCGAGAAATCGTCCTTCTCTTTGTCAATTCGCCATGATTTATTATCCTCGAAGGGAAGTCCCCTCTCAAGGACATCTGATATCAAAATATTGAATGTACACGTATCCATACATAAATGTCTCTCCACGCGGGCCTACAATCGCCGCTCCACAACCCACATATTAATAGGACAGTGGAGAGTGCTGTGAAGCTTGGCTGGCTCTTTAATTAACCCCGCGTGCCACCAGAGCCAAGAGAATAAAACAAAGCAACAACCAAGTCTACAGCCTCTGGTTATTCCCAACCCCCCGCCTCCCCCTTCACTCGAAAATTTTTTAGCCTCCACTCTTTCTCATTCCTCATGAATTTGATTAATTTTTTAGAATGGCAGGGCTTTGGAATAAGCATGTGTGAGGTTTTTTTCCCCCGACTTTGGGAAAATTTTGTTCGGCCAACGGGGACTTATGATAGAGCCTCGGAGATTGGTATGCTGTTAATTTGAGAGTGTAGTTCTACTCAGAGGGAACAGGGGGAAAGGTATGTTCCCATCGTTCAGGCCTTTCTTTCTCAGTCTCACAAGCCTTATCCCATATACCTATATATGAACGAAAGATATCTTTTCCCCTTTTCTTTTTTCACTGGTGCACAGTTATCTTTCGCTATCTTACTCCCTGATATTCCATATCCCCGGTGAATTCTTGGCTCTCGCTTCCTCCTGTGAAGTGTCTCCCACCACTGGCCGTTGGAACACCCGCCATCCGTCTTCATCGGCCGACAGCGCGACGGGCGGCGTTTGCCTCGAATGCTTGCCGAGAAGTTTTCTTAGTCTTCATCGTTTTTTTTTTCGCCGCTGATTCTTTTTTTTTCGATCCCATCCTTTCTCTCCCTCTGCACCCATTCCCGCCTTTCTCTTCTGCTCTGCAGTGGAAAGGATTCCACCTCATCCTACAACTTGCACTCGTGCCACACAACCTAACTTCTCAGGGATTATGGGGTGAAGAGGATGCTCTTGAGTGGGGATTTCTTTTTTGCAGGTTTTGAGGTTTTTTTTTGTTTTGGTAAATCGGGTAATTAATATTCGAGGTTTGTGGCTTGGAGGGAGGATAACTGGCCACATTCTAATTCGTGAAACCACTCGGGGATGAATGCAGAAGGTGAATTAATCGCGAATTTTTTCTTGGTATCGAAATTTTTGGGTTTGTGGATCCCTTTGATTTTTTATGATCCATGTTGACCCTTATATGTTATGATTTTAACCCATGCTGTCCCTCATCGAAACAAAACTAATATTTGACCCTTATACGTTATGATGTTGACCCTTATTGACCCGTATCAAAATATAAAACTGATATTTGACTATTATACGTCATGATTTTGACCCTTATTGGCCCTTATCAAAATATAAAACTGATATTTGACCCTTATACGTTGTGATTTTGACCCTTGTTCGCCCTGGTCAACACAAAACTGATCTTTGACCTTTATATGTTATGATTTGGACCCTTGCTCGCTCGGATAACTGGCCACATTCTAATTCGTGAAACCACTCGGGGATGAATGCAGAAGGTGAATTAATCGCGAATTTTTTCTTTGTATCGAAATTTTTGGGTTTGTGTATCCCTTTGATTTTTTATGATCCCTGTTGACCCTTATATGTTATGATTTTAACCCATGCTGTCCCTCATCGGAACAAAACTGATATTTGACCCTTATACGTTGTGATTTTGACTCTTGTTCGCCCTGGTCAACACAAAACTGATCTTTGACCTTTATATGTTATGATTTGGACCCTTGCTCGCTCTTATCAAAACATAAAATTGACCTCTGACCCTTACACGTCATAATTTGACCCATATTGGTCCTTATCAAAATATAAAAATGATCTTTGACCTTAATATGTTACGATTTGGACCCTTGTTGGCTCTTATCAAAACATAAAACTGACCTCTGACCCTTATAGATCATGATTTCGACCCTTACACCCTTACGGACCTTGCCCCTCCCCTAACAACCCACGTCAACAATACCCACAACTAACACAAAAAAATCATAATTATCTGTTACAGAGAGGAAAAGAGGACGACAAACCTACACGCGTTACCAGACCCTAGAGCTGGAGAAGGAATTTCACTTCAACAGATACTTGACAAGGCGGCGGCGTATAGAGATCGCCCATGCCCTCTGTCTCACCGAACGACAAATTAAAATATGGTTTCAAAATAGACGAATGAAGTGGAAGAAGGAGAACAAAACGAAGGGTGAACCGGGCTCGGGTGATGGTGATACCGATATTTCACCCCAAACATCGCCGCAGGGTTGAGAGCCTCAATGAAGAGTCGAGGTCTTCCAAAGAGCTTCTCATCTCTCAGGGTCCCACCGCGAACCTTGTCTCCAGCACTACCTCCAGTCTCCCCACCTGACCCCTCCCTCTTTACCCTCAGTCGATAATAATATCCCCACGGTCCCTGTTTTAACACCCCCCCCCCGCCCCTGTCCCCTCAAATGAATGATCTCCCACGCGATATGACCTCCAAATGACCCCTCAGCAATGACGCTTATCTTGTCGTGTTAATTCAAGTTGCTCGTACCAAAAAGATGACAAAGAAAGAAAAAAGAAGTACATAAAATGTGAGAAGAGTAAAACAATATGGAGTTGGCCGAGAGTTGGTGGACGAAAGAGAGAATGAAATTAATGAGGCGAATGAAGTCACGGGAATGCGCAATTTCATAAGGATTACAAAAAAAAAAAATACAAAATGGTTAAGTGAATTTTAGAAATGACGGATTAAATTGCAAATGCGATATTTGAAACTAAAACTGGATCACATGCTAATCAGAACCGCGTTAACCTCTATTACGTTTAATCGAAATGTAATTTACGAAAGCCTATATATAGAGATAATGGAAAAAAAATATACGTAACTTAAAAAAAATGGAGTGAGGAGAGAGTGAGAGACGATGAATGAGTGATTGTGTGAGTTTGGATAATTATTATGCTGCGATTCTGATGAATGAATTGTTGTGAGTGTATGAAAACTGTGGGTAATTATTATAGAGGATGCGTTTCTATTATTTATTCTCTTACTTCGTACATAAAAAAGAAAACAAATTGAATAAATAAATAATTATGTAGAAATGCGTATTAGGCGTTTTTTGCTCGTGTAGATAATGGTTATCTATTGCGTCTCTATTAGCGATAGATGAGCGTTATAGTAATTTAGAAATGATGAAATACAAAATCGTTTAGATAGATTTTATTTACAAAAAAAAACCGCGACGGCTCGGCGAGGGTAAAGCATTAAATATTCGTGCCAATGGTGTTCCAAATGTTCAGTGACAATGGTTTTGGTTGAATTCAACGTGAGTGAAATGATAACCCAGTGATTAATTTAAAGGTGATGGTGGCGCCATCGGGAGTTCATCGTCAGCTTCATCAGCAAGGTCAGTCCTGTTGCAAAACATCAGGTCCATTTTTGTTTTATTGTTAATGTGAACGAAATTCAATGCTCGTGCCCGCTGCAAAGAAATTATGTACATAATTGATTGGATTTTTAACGAACGAAGTTTACCCCTGCTCTGCAGACGCGAGTCCAAGTTACCAGTGACGTAATGTAGATTTTTGATAAGGAGAATGCGGGTGTGAAAGCGCGTGACAATTTTTATGGGATTACGGGAGAAAATTTATTATTTGATGAAATTATGATTGAGGAAAAAAATTATTGGAGGAAATAGAAATGGGCCTTATATTGATTTTTGGGCCCGTTGGGCCTCGTTTGGGCCCGTTGGGCCTCATTTGGGCCCTCTGGGTCTCATCTGGGCCTGTTAGGAGCCTTTGGACCTCATTTGGGCCCCATTCAGGGCTTTTGAGACTTAGCTGGGCCCACTGGCCTTAACTTTGATGTTTTAGGCCTCATCTAAGGCCCATCTGAGCCCTTTAGGTCTCACTTGTACCCTTTAGGCTGCGTTGGGGCCTCACATAGACCCTTAAGCGTCATGTGGGCTCCATTCGTGGCGTTTGGGCCTCACATGGGCCGCATTTTAACCCCATTCAGGCCTTTTGGGCCTCATCTGGGGTCTCTGGGCCTCACATGGGTCCTCTGCCACTCAAAAAACATTTCATTCCATAAATTTCACATTATTTATCATGTTTTCAGCATCTCAATTATTCAATTTTTGATTTCAATTATCTTGAAGTACTTTTTTCCAACTCATTTTTCCATCAATAAATTTCTCCCGCAGCCCTAACGAAAGCCCCATTACCTGCAAATATTTCGCTTTTAATTATATTTCTATCCCGGTGATTTATGAAATTGAAAAATGTAATAAGAAAAATTGATAGCAGTCGAGTGGGCATTCAGCCAAGTGTTTGGGAATCCATGAACAGCACCGACAGCCGTCCTTGAAAAATATATTGAAAAATAAATAATCTGCCATACGAAATTAATATCCAAATTGAAATATTTTGTGAATCAAAGTGAACAAGTAAATTGCATTTCCGAAATATTTGGTTGAATATTGGAAAAGTGTCAGGCGCTTTCTCAAGTTGCGTGTAAAAATAATCGACTTCCAAGGACCAAAGTGAAAGATAAACACAAAAAAATGTTCCCGGAAGCCGAAGTATGAGAGAATAACAAAAATCCGCCGCGGCGACTTCTGTGCTGTGTTGTTACATTAGTTTCTCGACACTTAGTTTCTATTATCATTAATTATGGGATAATTATGAGATAACGATATACGTAATGATGAGGATACAATGGTAAATTAAAGTGTGAGGGAATGATATTCAAAATTAAATGCGGAAATTCATTCTCATTGGGGTCGAGGCGATGATATGACGGTTGAACTGATATACGTAATGACGTGGTCCAACTCGTATTCGAGTGCGCGACTGGCCTTTCTTTCCTGAGAGATTTATTTATGTAAAAATTATGGAGAATTCATTATTGAGAAGATCAAGGGCTTCGATTGTTTCTCACGCCTATCGCTCGCTGCAACAGACACGTTGAGGTAAAGGGAGAAAAAAATCCCGGAAATGTTGAATTTAATGGGATATTAGCATGAAAAACTGAACCTTACAATATAAACTTTTATCAAGTTTCACCCTTGTGGCCCTTGCCAACTTCTATTCACTATCTGACCCGTAATTTTTTTTACAAGTACCCTGATTATGGCCCTTATTACCTAACCTTTTTCTGACCCTTCTGTTTCTTCATTTTTGTCAGGCCCTTGTGACCCTTGTGGACCTTTGTTCGTTTTTACCTATCTGACCCTTATATTCCAATCCTCATTCTGACCCTTGTGACGGTTGTATTCTAACCTTTATTTCCTGAGATTCTTCGTCATGTTTGTCTGACCCTTGCGACCCTTGCCAACTTTTGCTCTATATTTTCCATCTGATCCCTTCTTTTCCTTTCTATTTCTTATTTTTTGACTGATCCTCTCGACCCCTGTGAACCTTATGACCCTTTATTCGTTCCTATCTATCTGACCCTTGTATTCTAACCCTTATTTAAGCCCTTATTTACTGACCCTTGTGACCCTTGCAAATTTTTTTTCTCCCTCCTCTATTTGGCCCTTTTTTACAATGATTTTTCATCCTGATTTTTATGACCCTTGGGACCCTTAATTTCTCTTCATAAGGTTATACTTCACAAAAATTAACTTATATAAAAATTCTCGGATTTCTCTCTCTGTGAAATTTGAAGTTTCGTTCCCCTCTGAATATTTAAAAATCATTAACCGTTAACATCTTCGATAAGCATCACCTAAATTGATGGTAGTATTGAAAACCTGGGGAGGGGCGCGGCCCTGCCCAAACAATGAGACAATTCGTAACCTTCACGTCTTCATTGTATTCGATTTACGAGACAATTGCCCAATCACTTTTAACTTATGTCTTTATTATGATCCTCAGTTTCTCTTTTGAGACGAACCGACACTGATATCCTTTATTTGACATTTATATTCACCAAAATATTCATGATTTCTGCTGATTGTCGGGGAATAATGATCTTAAATTTACAGTTCTTATTAATTTTTCGATGACATTCTGAATTTTCAACGACAAAATTCCTCGAAATTTTGGCGGAACCAGAATGTGATGAAAATTTCGGAAAAGTGTAACGGAAGTATCAGCCAAAAATTTTCAAAAGTTTTTTTTTTTTATTTTAACAATCGAAACTTTTTCAGGAGAATTTTTTTTTTCGTTACTTCAAATATCGTTTGAAACCCTAAATTTCTGAGGTTCGGCTGAGGATTCGTGGGAATAGAAATGGGGTGGCAAGCGTGTTGGTCGTTGCAGCGGGCGGGGGCAGTGGTGAAATTCGATCGTCTTACAAAGGTTCTCTCTCTTTTTTTCATCCACGATCACACGATGGGGGAAAAATAAGAGACCCTGGAATGGCCACGAACGCAAGGGAAAGGTCGACCGCACGATTTTTACCGCGGAGATGTACATAATTCATATTTTACTTGGGATTGTATAGGATAACGTGAAAAACCCGTGAAGTAACGAGTGAAAAATATAATGGGTGTTAAATAATAACCCCGTAATATTGTTTAGTTACGTAATATTTATTAGTATGATGTTACAGGTCAATGTGAACCTTCATTTATTTTGTTTTTACCGAAGATCTAATGGATATTTTTTACTATAAAAAAAATCAACGTGAAGATGAATATATGCGTACTTATAGATAGTCCGAAATGTGCAAAAATTTTTAATAAATTTTTTCGTTTTCTCTCATCTTTGTTTTATATATATTTTCTTTCATTTTACTGTGAAATATTTCAGACACTCAAATCGACTTGCCAAAAGTCTAATTTCATTCATCAATGGTATTCCGAATGATGTATAAAATGCATCGGATAACAATTTTAGGTTTTATTTTTTTAATTTGTTATGAATATGATTTTCGTCGGAATGACGCCATGTCCTCGCTCGCGCTTGATGTACAAGAGTTCCTGGCGTTTCTGTCGCCTCTTGAAAACCGCAGGTGTCGCTGAAACAAAAAAAAAATTTTGATATTTTTTTTTCGAATGCATTTTGAAAAAAAAATTGTTTTGTTGTTGATTATAATTTTTAAACGGAATTTCACTCCTGAAATTCATCAAGTCATGACGTAATTGATGAAAAATCCAATTATTATTTTTCAGATCCGATCAATTAGCCCCTCATGTATAGATATTCCAAATTTTNTTATTTTAGAAAATTTATTTTAAAAAAAGTACCAACTAGCAAATGTTTTTTATTAGCTCGCAATTTTCTTCAAAACTACTTCAATGAGGAAAAAAATAAAAATTTGGAATATCTATACATGAGGGGCTAATTGATCGGATCTTATTTTTCTCCCATTCGATATCGGCAGGGCAATGGGCATTGTGAGAGGCGACGCCTGACGTCCTTCCACCGAATTCGCAAGAGCCGCATTTCTGTATACGATACCGCGTAGGTAAAGTAGGTACCTGTTAACTAGAGATATAAAAATACATTAAAGAGCATTAGAGCGAGGTGTAAGTGTAGCGATTATTTATTACGAGAGTAAAATAAATAAAAATTGTACTGCGAGTACAAACCTGCGCGGATTTTCATATATAAATGGGTCGACGGGGTGTCAGAAGGGGTGGGGATGACCATTCGTACTCGATAGATTTTTGGGCCGTAAAATTACTGAACAACTGATGTTATTTTGTTTTCTAGTGTTAAATGGTATGACAATATGCGGAAATAGGGCTGCAAATGGAAATTGTGAGCTGCAATTTTTTTTTTGATTTTTTATCACTTGATTTTTTGGCAAATATAACCTTAAGGAGCCATCTTGTCCGAGTTCTGCTCAATTTTCGCGAAGAATTTTTTTATTTGGAAGTGGTAGCACAAGCGAATGGGGATATTTCATCATTGAACAATTTTTTAAACATTACAAACGGTTGAAAAATTTTACCTTAAAATTGTTCTGCTGCAAATTAAATTTATATATTTCATATAATTTTTTTTTCATAAAAAAAGTTCTTTAATTTAAAATATCATTTTTTTTTCAACATAAAATTGTGAAAAAATGCGCTTAGATCTTGATCATCAGCGCTAATCACTTTTTGATCCATTAATCAATGAAATTGTTCAAAATAATTACTTAATTAATCC